ATTTTCATCGTGCTTACAAAATGCTCGTGCTCTCGCGGAGGGAGATAAATCGGGATCTTTTGAGAATAAGGGATAGTAGGACGTAGGAAAAGATAGAAAGAGAGAAAAATAAATTACACGAAAAGCCAAATTTCGTTCCACGCATTTGTCGTTCTCATCGGTTCTCATCGGTTCTCATCGAAAACAGTTACCTAGCGCCTTCATATTTGGCACATATCGATTTTCGACTTTACTTATACAATTGGCAACATATTGCGGCCTTATTTGCACCCCAAGCCTTAACCTATGGAGGGTCACTCAGCCGCAAAAACTCAACGGCACGTGAAATACAAAAATAATTTAACGTCCCACCTTGTCCCCGTCTCCGATCGTACTAAACTTTTGTAAACGTTATTTTCTTATGGACAGCTGACTCCTTACCTTTATTCTCTTTTTATCTGTTTTATTCTTCAAGAGGTAACATCTTCTCCTTTTTAACTCTTCTCCAATTGAAGTTTATCTCGACGAAGATGATCTCATGAATATGAAGGAAACCTAAAAGCAATTTTCTAAAATGAAATCCAAGTTTTTGATCAATTCTATAACATTAAACGAATAACTCTTGTATATTTGTATATTGTATCTCGAATGTAGGAATTTTTTCATGTGAGATCAGGTAAACATATCAATTTGGAAATATATAAAAGATATTGAAATATTGGAAAAATGTATATAGGATTGATTCTAAAAAAATAATATAAAATACAAATAAATGTTTTATTTAACGTAAGCGTTGTATGACGGACATAACAATATACAGTACGATATTCGCTGAATTTCATACAGTTTTATCATTGAAATTAATTATGAAATGGTTAAAAACAGATACTGAGGATAAACAATAATAAAATCATTTATATTTCAATATGCTTATTTGACCTCTTAAATGAATAATGCTGACTTGTTATTGCAATTATGAATTATTTATAATTGAACATTAAACTTAATATTTGTGATTAATGATTATTTATGAATCTTAAAATAATGATTATTTGTGTGTTAGATTTAATAATGAAGCAATCTATTGAACATTGAACCGTAAATAATAGGATAATGAAGAACGATTGAAAATACAAAAGAGAAAGACGCGAAATGTCTCGATCTTGCTTTTCCCTTTTAAATCCGCGTTTGTATACGCTCAATGCTCACTTGACAATCAACTGGCAAAGTGGTTGGTGACGAGGTCGACGACAAAGCCGAAGAAAAGTGAAAATAAATGGCGATCGTCGAGGACCGAGTTTAAAGCTTCATTCAGATTGCTCAGTGAATTCGAAATCGTCCTATTATCGTCCGTTTCGTTATTGCATTTCAAAAGGATATAGAAAGTGAAGCAGTGGAATGTAATAAGATGAGAAATGAACATTCACTCTTCCTAAGAAATTATTTATTTACTGATTATTAAAATAACTCGAATCCTTTATACAGATTATGATTGATTCTCACGTTCATTGTTCTTGCTAATCGTAAAAACGTAATAACAATAATTACAAATTAATTACTTTCCACAAAAGTTCTTTGATGAAAAATCTAATATCGTTTAGCATCCTAAACTTGTTCTTTGAGTGAGCTTCCCTTTTTTTATTTTTTCAATTTACACTAGCAAGAACGAATAGGAGAATTTACGTCAAGGGTAAGTCCAATTATCTCCCTTTTCTTTTACCCCTTTTACCAATTTAACTTTAATTTCCCCATTTAATTATTTGAAGTTTGGAACGATCATAAGGTGAGACGATAATTGACTGGAAAAGGTCCACCTAGGCAAAACTCGTCATTACGAATTTCTCGGAGTAACGTCGACGAATGAACGAAGTCTCTCAGTTTTGCCCTTTCTCTACGATTTTACGACCCTTTGGAGAAAATGATCGCACTAATTTGACGGTCACATACCGACCCTTTTCGAAATAGTCACGTCGCCAAGCCACTCTCTTTCCCTCTATTTTTCGATAAAATCTCAAAGCGTCAAATTAACAAGCAGGAAAAAATAAAGTAGCTTAAACGAAACTTGTCTACGAATGAGTATTTCTCTCAATCTACAAACTGTCCGTTCGTTCTTTTACTTTCATTTATGAAGTCAAAAGCAAACGTAAACATTTGAACGATGGTAAGAAGAAAAGATGAGAAAGGGCTTGACGGGGGAGAATCGAGACAGGCTGCAGAGTAATTGTAATTAATTGCCTTTACATTTGCGAAAGCGAGAAATGAAAAAGAGCGAGACTTTAGAGACGTTCGAATTAATGCGAAATGAGTATGCGAAACTTATATAATATCGTCGTTAATGGAGTTTTCGCGATGCAATTCGTGAAAAGTTTATGTGCACTAAGATTCTCGCATTCTCTCGTTATAGTTGAGTAGAGAAGGCAATGGTATGACAGGTGCTGCGTTAAAAGTGCTGCAGAAAGAAAAGAAAAGAAAGAAAGAAAGAAAGAAAGAAAGAAAGAAAGAAAGAAAGAAAGAAGGAAAAAAGAGAGAGTGAGTGAGCGATATACCTTGAGCACAATTAAATTAAATGGCACTCGGGTGCGCGGTTCTTACGTTATAATCGTCGTTTTAATAGCAACGGTAATTAAACCGAGCGTAATTGATTTACGCATACTCTTTTCCGCGGGTAGTAAACAGAATTTGAAAGGGCGTTGAATGGGGTGGAAAAGGGTAAGGTTCGAATTAAAACGGACAATGCAACGTTTACTTTATTTCACTCGCGTTAGATATTTTACATCTTCTCAATCACCTTTTTCTTACTCCCTTCATCTAATACCCAAACAAAAATATATCCGTATATATGTATACCAGTAGCTCTTGCCGATTAGGACCTTTCATCCTCGACATAATTGAGCACCAGAGGGACTTCAAATTTATTCACTCACTCGTTATATCACATATATGTGGCATTTTAAAATTAAAATGACGCATTTATGGAATATATAAACAGTTAGTATTAGAAGTTCTGCGATGGCTCCGAAACACTCCTACTTTGTAGAAAATAGATTAGCTGCATCAATCGTCAAGAGCCATAAGAGAATTCCTTGATGATTTTCCTTGACGATGCACTCGCGTGAATCTAATAACGCAAATAACGCAAATAACGCGAAATTGTAAACGTAGGATAAAGTTTACACAAGCGACGGACGGACTTTAAACTAACGAATGGTAGAAAGACAAAAATAAATGGAATAAAAATTGATTAACTAAATAATAAATTCCAATATATTCGATTGATAACGTAGACAGATACATACACAGCATTTGCACATTATTTCTTCAATAAAATAAACTTTAGATATAATCTCTTTACGCGCGTTCGAATGACGTTTAAAACGAACTATTTTCTTTTTCTTTCATCTGTATTTTTGTATTTTTGTATTTTTTTATAATAATTTTTTGTTCAGAGAATAACAAGATCGTCACAGTAAGCGTCGCTTGTTTTACAATGAAAAGACCTTATCAATTGTACGTAGCAACATTTACAATTCAAACGAAATGTTGCTGATTGACAATTGGTCGTTGAGTTAACGATAACAAGCCGACTATTAAGTTACCCACGCACGTGTCGTGTATGTCGCGTTATAGAATGTCCTCGCGAAGAAGACGTCATAGAATTTAAGAGGAGCCAATCGTGTGACGCATTTTCTTGCCACTCTGTAAAAGAGCCCTCCAAACGGATGTCTTTGTTAACACCTCTTTTTTCGATTGATCTTTATCGTTATCTCTGTCATAAATCGTCTCCAAACGATGATTAAAACCAAATACGAATAAACAATAAATAACTAACAGCTGTTGCATTTAACATACATCGATTAAAAGCATCAAAGCTTAAAAGAGGATTTCACAAGCGCTTTTTTTTTTTTTACATACAATCGTCGATTTTTGCATATTTTTCAATGATCTTTTCAATAATCCTTATTCTTCTATATCGTTTTTCTCGTTCTTTAATATAAATTAATCACAAACATCTATGACCCGTTTATTGCACAGTCACGGTATCATCATTATAACTAGAGGAAACAACGTGTTACGTTAGTGATAGGAGAGACTCGTGACAGAGATATATATATATAATTAGGTGTATATACATAGATAGATATATATATATATGTTGCTTTCATATTGGTCAATTTAATAATTGTCTTCTTTTTCTATCTCTCTGAATTTCGATGTAATACCCTGTATTACTCTTTAGTTAAGTCGATTATCAATAATAGATATATCATCGACCGGACGTAGAGATTTTTCTAGTATATCGGTGTGGCCAGAGATAAGTTCTTTCAATAAAATATCTTCGTACATAAAAGGATTAAAGAACATCGAATAGCGAATTATAACTACGAAAGATAGGAAAGTAATAAGAGCATGATAGATCAGTTCGATCATTCGTCGAACCTAATTCATCGCGAACGTGTCTCGTAAGGAATAATAGTATTATTTCTACGTATATATGTATGTATGTATATTAGGTACAAAGTATGTACCTTTTTATATCACGACACTTAACATATTATCAAGTATATATGTCGTAAGTATAATCGAATTACTTTTTTGAGTAGCACTTGATTTTCCATGCTTTCTAGAAACTGATTCACTTTTATATCGGAAAAGCACCTTTCGTGAATTATCGCACAAGTCTTCGGAATTTAATTATCGTACAATATACATAATATGTATTTATGCGTGTATAGTGTATATATATATATATAGATATATAATATATCTTTCTCTAAACGTGACAACGTATATAGGTATATATAATATATATGTATTATAGTTATAAGTATATATCAGAACTTTGTTTAGTCTCTTGCCGACCAGTCAGGATAAAAATCTGTCCGAAAGATATTTCATTACTACGTATATGTATATATATATAATATGTATGAATATATATATATATATTTAGTATACATTTTCTCTAAGAATGTATTTTTTCACACTAACGAGTCAACTACATACGATACAGTAAGGTTCTGTTTTTTTTTTCACTTTTTATCCAAACTTAATAAGACATATTCCTTCATTTCTAGATTTTGGAAATAACAATTTTCTTTACTTTTTTTTTTGTCTTTTTCTTTTTCAGCGAACAACATATTCGCTATTTATTATTATACTTTCCACGGTTCTTCCGTTGCGCTAAAGATATATGAAAAAACCAAATTTTCGTTTGGAACTTTTGTCAAAATTACAAAGATTATATCATCGGTGTAAAGGCATCTATGAATGAATGTCCTTTAGGCCGGCACAGTCAATTTCTTTTCTTTTTTTTTTTTATCGAGGAATTAATATTTTCTATTTATTTTAACGAGTCTGTAAGAAAAGGAACGATCCTTTATCATCGTTTTTTATCATTACTTTTTTCTTTTTTTTTTTTTTTGGTAATCGCAAGTCACGAAGAAAAATGTACGATAACAAATTCTTACGAAGGAACTGTACGTACACCCTGTTCAAAAGATTACATTGTTCGCAATAGTAAAGATAACTATGAGAATGCTTTCCTTTGTTTCTTAAAAGAAAAAATCTTGTATCATTTCTATGGAAAAAAAAAAATAAGATTAAAGAGGAAAAGAAGGCAATCTCTCTTGAAATGTCGCTTAAATCGAATCAGTCAAACAGAGCGTACATTTAATATTACAACAGTGATCGAAGTAATCGGTAGATTTTTCTATTTCTTTCTTTTTTTTTTTTTTTTTTATATATAGCTCTTCGTTATATACTGCTCATAGTCGGACATGATATTCTCTCGTACAGATTTGAATCGATATAGAAATTTATAGAATATATTCTCTTTATATATTGCTTTCCTTTTCTCTCAACGCAACGAAAGTACTGTCAACTTCAATATATTAACAATATGTTAAATCTCTCTTACTAATATTAACAATCTTTAAATATATATATATATGTGTACATATATATATATATATATGTGTGTGTGTATATGTACGTAAACGTGATTGTATATACGTATGTATATATACGTAAACATCGTTCTATATTATATTACTAATTTGCACTATCCCACTAATAAAAGACTATTTGTAGTGATTTTACTCCCCTTCACTCCTTTTCCCTCTCTTTCTCTTTCGTTTTTTTTTTCTTTCTTTAAATAGGATCGTTGTTATTAATATTCCGTCTTATGTGAACCCTTATCGTGACATACGACGTGAACCAGCCTCAAGTTCTTCAAAGTAAAAAGATTTTCATAAATATCATATATGTCTTTCTCGTTTACCGTGTCTTGAAGTGACATACTAAGAAGCCTTGGCACGAGGGTCCGCGATCGTTCGATTCTGTAAATAACAACAAGCGAAAAACGGTTTTTATTATAATATTATAGTTAGATAGTGGAAAAAGGTTGACTATAATAGAACGGTATTTTCAAGTTCTATTTGAACCATCACTGTCCTTGCATCCGATATATCGGCTTTACGAGATATCACCGTGAAACATAAAAACGATAATATTCTTGTAGAACTTTATCCTTCGTTTTTATTACGTCAGATTTTCTCGCCTTCAAGTTTATTTTCAAAAAATTGTCAAATCGATTCGCATAAATTTACATCAAAAACGTTAGGAAAAAAATGAAATGTACGAAGGATTACTGTACACGTGTTTCTATACGATAAAACATGACAAGTTGACACGTATGTATTAAATTGTAGTAAAAGCTTAATGAGAGCACATTATAAAGGAGAAGAGAGTATATACTCGTATGTATGGAGTGTGTGTCCTTGGCACTGTAAAATAAAAAAAAGAAAGAAAAGAACGTAATGCGTCATCGGCATTGAACGCGTTAACTCATGTACAACACACCTTGAAAACGCTTTGGTAAATGCATTTTATCGATAACCTATGTATATTGATTTATACATATGTATACACATGTATTATAATAAGCACCTATCGTAGTGCCCTCAAAAGATAAAAGATTCAAATGATTTTCGTTATCGAAATATTTGAATAAATATTTTCTTTCATTAATACTTACTTTGATAAATAATTTGTCAAACTTTTGATAGGAAATAGATGAAACAAATGAAATATACTCTTACTTGTGATCCAAATTCCACGTGGAAAATAGGACAAGTTCCTCCCTCGATCTGTAAGGATTGATCCTGTGTCTCGATCCATAAGCACATTCGTTTGCGTTCCATACTCCTTCACATCTAAATTCTCCCTTGCGATCGCAAATAGCTTTCTGTTCTTCTACTTTTCGAAGTTTAATCCTAAAAGGACATTCCTCCTCATTTCCATCGTCCTGTTTTCTCTCGACCGATACTTTGGTGATTTTTCTCGCGTCTACTTCGTCATTCTTCAAATTATCCTCGATTCTTCTGACATTTCCGAATAAACGAAAATGCGTGCTATCGTCTAAATGACTCAATTTGCATGGACAATGATCGTAACAATTTGAAGAATCTACTTCATCGAAATGTTTTTCCGTTTCGTTTGAGTCCTTTGATGCTCGACTTCTATCGAAATAATAACCGAAATAATGATCCTCTTTTAATTGCAATTTGAAGAAGGCTATGGTCTGTAATAATTGCTGTCGAGCTTTTCGATCATTTAAATATATATCCGAGGATCTTATCTGATCGATCGTCTTATACAAATATCCTCGTATCCTATCTTGACATCGTCGATGCATATAAGCTTCCTGTAAACAACAAATTTCATCTTTAATGCAATAATACATTTGCGATAAAATAACATCCTTGATGTGTTGAGATATTATTTAAAAATTGTCTTAATTTGACGACATCGCGAGTGGATATTTTTAAGCTCGAAAGAAAGAATTAGCTACACGCGATATAATAGACATACATAGATGTTCCATAAGTTTCAGCAGACGAAAAGTTTTCTCAGAGGCCTCAGCACATTATCGGAAAACAGAGGAGCCCAAACACAGAAGCTACGGTATTAACCTACTTAGAATTCTTGATCGAAAATCGACTTAAGAACGATCTACTGGAAACGTCACGCGTTCAGCTTGAATATCCTTCCTTTGAAATCGGGCCACGTATCAACGAATAGCTCCATTCTGAAGCAGCTGTTCTCTTTTGAAACGTTCTTTTGATGTTCTTCCTTTTGCATGCTACAAAAATACGCTTCCGAGTCTTTTCCGAGTCTTTTCCTTCGGTATTTTCTCTTCAATATATTATAATATAAAATATTAAGACAAGCATGACTCATTTTTATTTAGTCGAACGATGATCAAATATTGAATGTAAGAAAATGTCAAGAAGTACTATCTTCGTATATTGTAGGAAATTTTCTAAATGAGATTACCGGTCCGGAGATGGTAGTGACATTTTAATAATAGTTAGAAGAATCTCTCGGTCGGGCACGCGCGCGTTGCATGTGTGCATGTGTGACTTTGAAAGTACCATAATTCGTAATAAAGTGACAGAGAGAGAGAGAGAGAGAGAAAGAGTGAGAGTGAAAGTGAAAGGATACGTATGGATGCGTAGGTGTATTAGAAACACATGACAAAGTGACAGCACCATATGCGATTCATCGCCAAGAGGGACAGAGATAACGAGTTAATTAATTACATGAACCAAGCAGATAGAGCTTCCGAGATTACAGGGAGAAACGAGGCAAGCGATAAGTGGGACGTTGAAACTCTCAAAGTGTAATACGAAACTAGACGTTAATTAACCCTCGCGATATCGTGAAATTGACACGATTTCCGCACATATTCGATCGGCTCATTTCGTAGATAACTTAGAATCCTGAGTACCAATTGAAGATTTCTCACATAGAACTCGCGGATGGATATTTCATCGTATTCGAATATATTATACATTAATTAATCTTGTTATGTTGCAAGCTAGTTATTAAATAAGTTATTTTATTACTAATATTATTATATAATATTTTATAGAAATAGTCAAGTTATAACGAATTTATGAACACTTTCGTGTTATCTTAACTATACGTATTCGAAAGGATGTTGTTACTTAAGACAAATGGATAGAAATAGTTGAAGCGTATCACTCAAAGTATCTCCAAGTAATTTCCTTGTAACTTACCTTACTGGTATAATTAGTCTCTAGTCCACGAAACCACTCGGAATGTTCCTCTCTTAAGCTGCACGTTGTCTTGGAGTCATCCACGTTCAAGGCATTGTTCAAAACGGCGATCTTGTTCTTAAGATTCTCTGTTAGAAATTGCGTCACTTTGTCACCGGCAGTAATATATTCGATATTCACGCGACGCAAAGTGTCATACAGAAGATCAGCATCTACGATAAACGATTATTACTGTACAATCATTAAAACTAATTTTTGTATCATTAATATTCAAAGTGATTCAACCAACCGGATAAAACCTTCTCTCCTGGTTTCTGCAAGATCAAGGTTGTTTGCGGTTCCAACGTATGAAAATAATCCTCGTCTACCAAGGATCCGTCAAGAAGAAAGACGTTAACCTCGGCCAGATCGTTTGTTATCTAAAAAAAAAAAGAACGCCCACGTGTCATCGCATAATCGATTTTCTTCTTCAGGCTTACACGTAGACTAAAATAAACCGGAATATATAATATTTTGTTCTCTCTCCTTCACATCAAGAAGCTATCACTCGAAAGAAATTTATTCTTACTTATTATTTATTATTAATCGAGCGTAGGATAATAATAAGAAAAAAAATCCCTTTGAACATTGTAAACAATTTTAATACGCAATATGTTCCACTTTGTAAAAAAGTCAGAATTGATCAAAAGAAAGTTAGAAAATAATTCGAAGATGAGAATTTTCTGAATAAAAGATAAATGCGGTAAAAAGGGCGATAAGAAAAGTAGCTCGAAGAAAAGTAGCTTGAAGAAAAGTATGAATCTGCAACGGAAGTAGAGGATTGGTACAGTGCCGAGACGAAGACACGACCTTGGCATTGGGGTTGCTCTCTCTGTCCCTGGCCCGGATGGTTCGATAAAGCTACATGCTGCAGGCCAATAGGATTCGTTTCCAAGGTCATACTGCAAACGGATTAATCTATCTGCAAAACGTTACGCTCTTTTTCTAATCCTTCCTATTAAGATTAGGTATCCTTTGAAGAGACAAATGTAAATCGCGATGGAAATAGAACAAGAATGAAGAGAAACTATTTGAGTCTACTAAAGGAGTGAGATTTTAGTCGCAATAGAATCGAATCGAATCGAACGGATCAGCCGCATTGAAATTTCTAATCGTGTCCGCAACTCCTGAATAGAATTAGAAGTACTCTGGTGGTACCTTCCTATCAAGCTATCTGATCAAAGTACTTCCTTTTCCTTCTTTTTTTTTTCAAGTTCTTTTTTTTTATATAGATATATATAGAAATACTTTTACAAGATTACTGAATCCAAATTTTGTGTTTAAGAATATATATAAATAAATAAATTGAATTGTTATATATTATAATTATATTATTCCATATTTTGTTGAAAATAACGAAGAAGATCCATCGTGTGAATTTATTTGAAAATGATACCCTGTCAATATCATGCATTGCTGATAAATCGTATAGTACTTTTTCGAATATATTCATTAACAGCTGGTTTTCTTTCTTTCTCTCTCTCTCTCTCTTTATCCCTTTTTTATATTTTAAAACAAACGATAGCATGGAAATTCAAAAATATGCAATGAAATATTGTTATCGACGGTAGCAACATGAAATTGGAGCTTTTTTCTCTCTCTCTCTCTCTCTCTCTCGAACATTGCATATTATCAAATTACGTGTTATTAAGACCTCGAATTTGATAACTTTTAATGGGGTTCGAGTAAGTGGAATAGTTAATGTAATTATCGCTAAGAGTCATCTCACTTTATATCTTCTTCGTAGATAAATGACAAGTAAACTCGCAAGAAATTTATTTCATTTTCAAGCGTGTACTTTTAATGATAAGAAGAGTAAAAGAGAACAAAATCTCTATGAGATTTATGTTATACGTAGAAAATGATTATATCATATATCATATATTATTATTATTATTATTTTTAAAAATATTAAACTTCATTTAACGGAAATTTATTATTTTTTTATTCATTTATAAATAATTTCATGAACCATCAAAGGAGCGATTAAAATAATCGACAATTTAAAATGCAATTGATTAAATTGTAAACACGTTGAAAATCCATTAAAAAAGAGAGAGAGAGAGAGAGATTCAATCATTTGATAGGTATTTAAGTATATACATATTCATAAAGAAAATAGAAAAAGGAAGGATACAAAATTACCTATATATATATATTTTAAACACATATTGATTATGCATTTTATTTCATATTAGAAAATGATCACGCGTGTACGTATTCGTTATCTCGTAGTCTCTCTTTTTCTAGGCATTTTTATAAAACAATTTCAAGTGCAATCTCTCTGTCAGAGCAGAACTTGCGTCCGTGCTCTTCTCTCTCTCTCTCTCTCTCTCTCTCTCTCTATTTTATTTTTTTTTATTTTTAGGACGTTTCCTACACTCAAAACCTACACGGTGGTACACCGAGTACTTTTTACCTCGAGGCACATACGCCCTACTTTTCGATTCTCAACTCTTATTATAAAATACGAACGACACGCGTCTCTCGACAAATATACACGGGCACGCATGTATACACGCGTCGATAAGTTTTATAATAATTAATTACTGAAATAAATGATAAAAACATCATTGTTTTTTACAAGTAATGAACGAAATTAGAACCCAAATTTGTACTTACGTTCAATTTTGTGCAAGCTTTCCTTTTCAATTCCTGAAGACTTCGACAGGCTACGCCGAACTTTCTCGTACGATTCACATCTGTTATTTTGTAACCCTTTAACTATAATCAAAAGGGAAACGAGCTTAATTGCGATTTATTACAAATGGGTTAAGATTGGCGATATGAACCTTTAATCATGAATATTCAAATCAAATTTCTAAAGTGTTATTAAAAAAAATTAGTTATTGAATGCATAGAGAATTATGAAAACAATGTTTACTTTATAGGCGAGCTCTCCAATTAGAAAAGCAATGAAAATGTAGTATAAAAGGATCGATTACATGGACGAAATACTATCCTTGCAAACGCGTACAATGAACAACTATAAAGGGAAAATAAAAATTCAAAAAGACGCGCCACGCCGTTCAATCACGATGGTTCAAGGCCATGAAAATATCAGAGAAATAGTCGTCACAGTTTTTCCGGTTGACCCACATTATACTCCTCCGTTACCCAATCCCAGAAACCGGAGTGAATCTCCATCGTATTCAAAGGCAAACAACATTGAAAGAGAGATGAATTCCAAGCTGGTTGCATCTTGATGCAGGCTTAATTGAACTTTGACTGGTGTCGCGATTTCGACATTTTCTCCCTTTTGTTATGCTGCTTCAATCAACCAACGAAACGAACAAAGGTGTAAATAAAACTATGCAGGAATTAAACGGGGCCAACCTTTTTTTGGCTTTTAAACAAAGAAGCCAAATAATAATAATAATAATAATAATAATAATAATAACAAAAGAAAAATCCAGAAAGGTGGATTACGAATGAAACTCTAATCGATCGACAATTTCAATAGTTGGAAATTTATTTTAAAACTATAAATAAAATAGGAAAAAAATAATTTATTAAAAATACATACTTCACTTTTGTAGGACGTGTCAGTCAATCGACGAAAGCATTCGGCGATGAGCGACATGATCCTCTTCTTCTTTTTCTTCTTCTTTTCTTTTTTTTTTCTTTTTCTTCTTCTTCTTCTTCTTCTTCTTCTTCGAGAAAGAACGAAAAGAAAAATAGGGTAGGTTGTTCGTAACACTTGTTTTTCTCCCTTCTTTCTACATCTAATGCATTCTTCCTTGTGTCAAAACGTCCCAGCCAGCTGTTTGCCAAGGTTTCTTTTCTCTCCCTCTTTCTCCCTCTCTTTCCCTGTTATCCTTCTTCTTTTTCTTCCTTTCTTACCCCTCTTGACTTGGAGCGTATACGACCCTGACACTGACAACGTGTTCGTGGTTCACTATAACAATCTTTTAAAGTTAACAACAAAATAACACGGAAAATGAGAGCTAAATATATATATATATATATATGTGTATGTAAAGAGTAAGAAAAGAAAAGATAAGAGATAAGAGAGATGGATGGAAATATTTAAAAGAAATTGGTTTAAAAAAGGTATGATATAAGAGAGGGGGTAAAACGATGCTAATGAAGCCTGTTGCCTTGCTGCGAAGACGAGCGCCGGAAATGCACGCGCGTGTCACAAATTTCCGCAATGGGGTAGTAAAGAAGAGGGAAGAACACGCGTCTATCTCTTTAAATAGACAAAGAGGTAGGTTCTTCCTGTGTGTTAGACGCGATCCTTGCAATACTCGAGGAAGGAATGACGAACAAGCCTTCCGAGGAAAATGCTCGGCCAAAGAAGGACGGGGATTAAAGCGGTGCAAAGTGCGCCTGCGAGACACCGTCCCCGTGTATCCTGCACTTACCTTATTCCAGCCAGATGGCACCACCTATCAGTATGCACAGCTGACTGCACTCCCATCGACGACAACGATAACAACAGTACCCATTTATTTTCTAACCTTTATTTTTCTATTCGAATCGGTTAATATTCTTCTATAAATAAGTTTAATTCATCGTCATTTTATTACCGTTATCGTTCAATTTGTTCTAAGTGATATTTTATATTGGTAATTGTGTGTGTTATTGTTTTTCTCTGTTAATGATACTATTAATAGGTTAAGAAATGAACAAAGTATTGCTACAGTGTAACATTATATGCAAATAATATCAAAAGATGAGAGTAGATGATTATTACTTGTTGTGCCAATCGTAGTGAAAGATTGAAAACAACAGAATTATGTAGATGTTCTTAGTTTTTATTTAGCAATTATGATGTTATCATTACCAATGGAAGTTGAACAAGCTTGTCGATCAACAATGCGATGATGCATGCAGTATACTACGTTATAAATATATTTTTTTACATTATTAATGTAATGTGTATGCATTGGATTGAAACTAGCGCATTAAGTTTACAGATTATTGATCGTATAGCGAATACTTGAATTTTAATTATAAGCACTTTTGGTACCATTTATATACACTGAACAATTACAAAAATAAAATATTCAAAGCATTTATTTAAATAATATTTATGTGTCAATTGTCTGTTATACATTATTTCAAATATATTACATTAGCAGTAAGCAACAGTATAAAGGATAATTCTACATTAATTAGATGTTTTGTTTCATTAACATATTAATCTATTAAAAATCCAATTATTGAATGCAATTTAAAAGGAAAGCAATAAGCTCTAATTAAATTTTCTACATTACAATATAATATATTAACAATACTTGCGATCGAATTCCATTCAAACGTCAAAATAGAATGTTATATTACAGTAATAAAAGACAACAAAGAAACACTTGTACTATACATATAACTATAGTTCTGCAGACTCGATCGACTCGTCATCTAGTGAGCAGAAGGATTAAGTTTATTGTTATTTAAATAATTATATGCATGAAATTTTCATTAATTGATATAAAAATATTAAGCAAACGTATAATAAGAAAAAGAATGTTATTTATAAACAATATTTGTTATAATTCGGTTCTCTATTTGTTAACACCGTCATCGGTTTTTAACAAATAGTCGATAATACAGAGTTCTGTATAAACATGATAAAGATCTGTACACACGAAGCATCCTGTATATATACAGTTTCTGGAATGTTTATTTTCAAGAGAGTAAGTGTGGATAGACATGGTACTAACAAAATAGTATTTCAACAGCAACTTATCGATTGAGCATCTTTATTGCTACGAATGCAGTTAATAAAAATATATATCTGTAGTTGGTTTACATTGTCATTTGGATTACTGCATGTCCTATCGTAGTTTTCTTATTTTTATTTTGTTTTTTAAATTCTTAGATTACATGGAAGATTCTTTAATTATTGACATATTTATTGCGACAAAACTTTTGCAAACAAATAAAATATCGATCGTGCGAGTTTAAAATTCATAAAGTACCTATACTATTCGAAAGTAATAACCAACTACTGTATTTATTGAAATTTCTCGAGCAATTTGTTATTATCAATTTAATTCATATTAACATTTTCATCGCAAATTACATTTATAAAGAAACTTTCAATACGGCATAGAAAAAGAAGAAGAAGAAGAAGAAGAAGAAGAAAGAAATGAATGAGCTGTAATCAATTGAAAAATATTTCCAATTCGTTAGGATATCAGAATATTTTGTTTGCATGATTGAATCAGTGCACTGCATGACAGGATCTATATAACAAAATGACATTATATTATTGAAAAAATCAGAGAAAGAGTAAAAGGAAATTCTTAGAAGCAACAGTCGTTGCAATTCAGATCGATATATGTTTTTGTTGTTCTCTTTTTATTATAAATAGTTTAGTTGAAGCTGTCAAGAAAAGAACAATTTCTTAAATGTTGCTAGAATAAAAAAAAAATAAAAAAAAAAAGAAAGAAAAGATTTGATCGTCCGCAATGTACGGTGTATATACGGTGTCCCAGTTTGTTCAAGCGTATGGCGTCGCGCGTATCGAGTTGTCTCGGTCTTTGTCTTGTGGAGGAAAGAAGTGCGCAAGAGTGAGATGGAATATAAGAAAAGTAGGAAATGAAGTGGGGAGAAAGTCTGGTACCGAGCTTGCGCGGTGCTTTTGTAAGGCGCGTCCTGGTCTCTCCGGACGAGACCGGAAAGTGGAGAGGGCTTTATTCGTCGGCGAGCTTTCGTCGTGGAGAGGGTGCGCGCGCGCGTGCTAACTCGAGAAGAAGGGTTGGAGAAACAAGAAGAAGAAGAAGAAGAAGAGGAAGAAGAGGAAGAAGAGGAAGAGAAAGACAAAGGAAGAAGGACATTTTTCCAATTTTGTCTCTAAGGAAAAAGAGAGATTTTGTATAAGAGGGAGGAAAGGTAGGAAGTTTGAAGAGGAGACAAAAGAGGAGGTAAAAAACAAAAAGAAAGGAAAGAAGAAGAAGAAGAAGAAGAAGAAGAAGAAGAAGGAGGCCGGTGGTGGTGGTGGTGGTGGTGTGCTGGTGGTAGTAATAATAGTAGTAGAGTAGAGAGAACGAAAGCGTCGGTCGATCGTAAAAATGTAATGACCCGGCGACGAGAGAGGGAAAAAAGGTAGAGCTCCGCTTGGAAAGTTTTAGCAGCAAGCTACGTCGTAACTACGATAAGAACGAAGAAGCACCACCGACAGGAAAGCTCATGGCGTGAGAGCTCGAACAATCGACCGGAAGGGATTCGCGGCTATCGTTTCTCTTTTCTTATTTTCGTCGTCTCTGAGCGAGCAACTCGAGCGAAAGCTCGACCACAAGGATCAGGTAAGGGATACACAACTATACATATATTATAATACGTTAATCGTTATATACAGTTTCATCAGTTAGATTTTTGCTTTCTTTTTCTTTTTCTTTTTCTTTTTTCTACTTTTAATTGTGTAGTTATGTTCATATGTTGTATACATATTATTGTTCGTAACAGTCACGTTCAACCTTTGTCTATTGTTCAAATGTTATTCCCGCAACAGGTTACGATTGATGATCTACGGCTCTCGAATGAAAACAATGATATAACTCGCGGAGCTCGAGGGCTCGGGCTTCCTTTCTCTTCATTTTCTCCTTCTCCGCTCTCCTCTCTCTTTCAAATAGTTCGGTTTCGTCGCGCGGGTTACTCATATGCTTTTCCCTCTCTCTCTCTCTCTCTCTCTCTCTCTCTCTCTCTCTTCCATTTGAAATTTTCTTCCTATCTTTATAACGTGTCGAATTAAATTGCTTTACTTTGTTAATTTAATTTATAACGTATTTGTACGTAACAAAATCAGATCCTTGTCGGCAAAACTATTGAAATTCGGTCAATCTTTCAACGAGATTGACGACCAATTTGAACTAGTTAATTAATTAATTAAGTTAATTTATTCATTGTGTTATTTATTTTCCATGTTATGTTGATTTTATCGATATACTAACCTAACGTCTTATATACATCATTTTGACAGGGGTTGATAGATTTGTTCATAAATATAATATAAATGTACTTTATAGAATAATCACTATGTTGTATACCTAATTACACCGTATTATTATTTACGTGTATATTTAAAAATGTTATTATTGGTGTAAGAAGGTAGGAACATAATTTCTTGTATATCGTCTCATGTTATTTCTATCTCTCTTTTTTCTCTCGTAAAAGAAAATCTTGTTAGTCGTTTCTTAGAACATATATTATCAACGAAGTGAGCTTTCTTTAAGGTCAAAGAAAGGTAAAGCAGGAGGGTTAAAAGCCCGGTCGATCTTCCGATGCGCGACGACTCGAGCCGTTCTTTGCGCGAACGTAAACACTGGATCGGTCGATGACTGCTGCGCAATGCAATTTTTCAACAAATAATCAAAATCAAATGAATAATCGTTTGTTTTATTTTCCATTTCGAAAAGTCCATCTTTTATTTCTTTTTTCAAGACTTTTCATTTTTCATTCATCGTCAAAATGCATTTGTTGACAATATCTGAATCGACAATTATTCGGTTTTATTCGTACGAAATGATTGATCTCTAGGACCTAACACTATATATTTATACATATTTAAAAGGGTGTCCATCGTAATAGAGAAGAATTGTAATATTTATGACCATCGTTCGTGCACGGTAATAAATTCGTAGTATAAAACAAATTCGCATAAAATTATCATACATTGTCGTTTATAAAGCCAATTTATGGGAGAATATAAATATTGGTATTAAGAATTATTAATAATTTTAATTGGATATAAAGTATTTATTAAAATACTTATTTAAAATCGAAATATAATCTTTCCTTCATCATCAATTTCTACATATAAATTTGATCGGTTTATCGAAAAATACGGAATTACTTTGTCACTTGAAACTAGTTTCATAACTTTACGATCTGTTGTGTTAATTAACAAATTTTGAAGTAATTAAAAATTCAAATGAATTTTAATCCATGATGATGAATATATTATGTATATACATGCATATCTTGAATAGATTTAAAGTAATTTAGATTTAGAGTATGTTTTTTTTTAAATCTTTCAAAATGATAGAAGATTTTCTCGAAGACAGGCAGGCAGCACAGGAAGCAGGCTACATTTGCTTTTACTCGAAGTAAAAGCATGTGCTTTAGAACTATACTATGTAGCATTAGGCAAATGCTTCTATTTCTGTGCCTAAGAAATTTTCGTATTTATTCGGCGTATGTTAAGAAAGGCGTGTTCTACCAGAGTACCGTGCAAAAGCAAATGCTGTTGGACTTTAATTCGTTGGAATTAAATAAACCAATCGTATTAAGCAATTTGTTCAAACCTGTCGTAATATTTCATACACTTTATTCATACTAAAGTAATATTTTTGTTAGCCGATGTTTTATAATAAGTACGCAAATGTACAGAACTGATGAGATTAACGCAATTCAATTTTCTACTTCAACATTTGATGTGTGTCTTAAATTCACCATATGCGGATAGTTTAAAGTAACGTTATCTTTATTTAACTTTGAATTAATAAATTGGTATAAAATAGGAAATCGGATAACATCCTATATAGGGTATGATTCATACGAATACGAATAACACGTTAAAAAGAAAGAAAGAAAGATGAAAAATTCGCATCGATAAATCATCAAAATTAGTCTACGGAGAAATGATTCTATTTAAATGTTGTAAGCAAGAGATAGTAAATGCGGCAACTTGGGTGATATTATCTTTGGCACAGATAACGGATCTTTTAAACGGTGTACTAAAAATTCAATACTGTATACTGCACAGGAAACAATGGCGAATGGTCTTACACACATGTATAAAATTGTATATATATGTAGTATATTGATGATGCAATATAATGATTAAGARGAGGAGGAGGAGGAAAAAGAGTCGATCGAAGGTCAAAGAAGGACATTCGAGGAGGGTAGGTCTGTAGGTAGCTCGGTAAGAGACTCGATCGAATCCATATCTCGAATCGGAGGATTAATCGACGGGTTTTGACGACGATGGCAAATCAAACACTCTCACGTTAGCGGCTCCGAAGAGCTTTAAACGCGTCGAGTGGCGAGTGTTCGACATACACACGTATCTCGGCTGCAGTTGAAGCTTTTCCGTGACGTAGCTGGAGCTTTTAACGACAAGGAAAGAGTAGACTAGGCTTTTGGCAGTGTTTGCTTTGGCCGTGCCGTACTTTGCTAAGTCGAAACGACTATCATTTTATTTTTTTTTCATTCTTACCTATTTCGAAATCGGCTGCTGTAGGCAATGTATGTAAGGCAACCAAAGACAAGAAACATTCCTTTACAAAATTTCAATCTATAGATATCATATATTTCTTTTTATGTAACTAATCGTATTTCAATACAACACGAATGGGGTATATTTTTGTAGATGTATTTGTATGTAGAGATCACAAGCATCGCACTTGATCACGTCAGTCTGGTTACCACTAACTGCCTATACACGGAACTGCTATATCCCAAGTGTTATTTGTTAACATATCGTCAAAGAAATATCTTAAAATACGAACAATATCGAATGAATAATATCGGCCGATACGTTGCATCTATAATGCATAAACTACGATGGGAATTTTATAATATTCAGAATTGCTTTGTTTTCTACGACAATTTTGATGCTATTCCAATATTATTGAATAGCTTCGAGTAATATACGAGTAATAACGTCATGGAGGAAAAGAAATATATCTTTGTCTTTATTTTTTTCTGTAATAAGTGGTAGATATCGATATTGTAATATTATTCAATTTAACCGAATTTTACGTAACTGTAGAAATTCAATATCTCTCATCTAAATCCTACTACATGTTTGTTATATTTTATTTCAAACAAATTCTTCATCCGACATTGTAAGGTTTAAATCGTATTAGAGATAATTCTATCTCTGTCAGTCTTTTTCTTCAATTGTCAATATTTCTACAACGCTCGTCTTCATTTACAATCAATTAATGAGATTTGTCATAGCTTTAAAGATTTCTTAGCACCTATTTAGACGATACGAATTATACGAAACGATCAATTTTGCACGCGATATTGATCTAAAATGATTACGAACGTTTAAGTTAAGTCCTCTTATTTAACGACTACATAATTCAAGTTTGTTACATATGCAAGCTTATATTTAAATATACAATTACAGTTTCGTTTTGATATTAATTCCATTTGCAGAGAGTTCAAAGAAACTTAATCGAATAAAAATTCTGGAAATTGCTAACTCGCCATAGTTACACGTATATAAACAGAAATGTACGAAAACTCGTGGACGAGATATCCTCCTCTTTCAGTAGGAAGGTGAATCGATTTCGAAGGAACATGACGATCTGCTGGCAGTTCGAAAGGTCACTCGCATGACCCACATTCAATTTGAACGCGACGCAATATTCATGCCGTAGCTCACGAACAACTTATATCATTTATCGTTGATAAGGACAATTTTGAAAGGTGCGGCTCGATAAAGTAGAAAGCTTTGATTTTATTGTCCCACGACGCGTAAAGTTCTAAAGCATAAAAAAAATAATTAGCGAAATAGCGAAGAGTAGGAGCAGTAGGAGTAGACGAGCTTTTGAGCCGACAATTAGGTTCTTTTCTATATAACTTTGTAACATATTTAAATACTCGTATCCACTCAACGAAAGCTTTTACCGTCGATCGATCCTTGCTAATGGTAGCCACATTCAATCCAAGTATTCTACTTACATACTTTCATGAAATTTCGGGAAAAGTGTGCGAGAGAGAGAGAGAGAGAGAGAGAGAGAGAGGGAGGGAGGGAGGGAGGGAGGGAGGGAGAGAAATCATTCGATCGAAGAGAATGCAATTTAAACGTGTCATTTGCGAATAATGTCGCCTTGCTAAGAGAAAAAAAAACAACTTATAGCATAGACGGAATTTTCTCATTTCTGTGAAAAACTATTTCGGACGATCCCTTTACTTATACTCATGAGATTGGTTATCCCTTGGGATTTGTAGCGTCCTGCTTCGATCACATTTTTTTCTATTTTTTACAAGTGTAAACCATTCGATTCTCTTGAGAAAGGGAGTGTATAGATAGATAGATAAAAAGATAGAAAGGGACGGTCATACGTTTTTGTTTCAAATCTTTCGCTGGGATTTTGTCGTCCCTTGGAATTATCGATCTACCTTTATCCTTTAGATTTTTCTTATCCCATCGGAAAATATAGATTCTCGATAGTTCTTATATTCCTATTATTTATTTCTTCTCTTTTCCTTCTTTCCTTACTGATCATAAAAAACATATGAATACCCTCTACTTCTATTTTATTTTTTTGTTTTTTTTTTTCGAGTCAAA